TCAAAATTTATATAATTTTTAGACCTATTTATCTTTTTTTATTGTTTTAATGTATATTATATGCTTCTGAAATTTGGCAATAATTTTTAAAAACACCTTATATAATACTTTCTACTATCATACTTTTATGTATTTCAAAATGAAACTGTTACTTTTGACCCCAGTTTATTCTTGTTGAACGATTTCGAACGGAACGTCGAAAGTAGGGAAAGATCAAAAAAGACTGACTAGAGACCCGTTGTGCAACCGACGAAGATGGACCGTCGCCATTTTCCCTTTCACTTCAACGAAAGCGTGCATCAGTGGGTCGAAGCTACTGCTAAGTAGTTAGGAGGGACCGTGATATCGGACGTATACGTTCATTTAAATCGTTATCTACCGATCTAAATATCAGCTACTCGAAAAAAGAAGCAAACACATCGAGACTATGTCGACAAGCGAGAACAACAACAGTGTCTACCGTTTTTATTATTATTTCTTTCTCTTCAAGCGTGCAAAAGTCACCTTTCCGGAGACCCGAGAGCTAGCTTTCGCGGTCTTATTGTGTTTAATTTTGCAAAGAAAATATACATGTATATTACTAATACCAATTTAAACGATGGAATAACTTCCTAAAAAACTTCATTCGCGACGACAAACGATAGTTTGTTGGTGTGTTTACTCCATCGAGCCGACGGATATGTTTCAAGGTCATTTCTTTTTACTAAATTTTAATAGTGGAACACGTGAAACAGTGGAATAGCCACTCGGGTCTAGATAAAATACAACAGAGATGCAATTCGATCCGAGACGTGTCTTTTAACAACTATTTTGATTATTTTTTTTTTTCGGGTCTCTTTCAAGGTTGAACAAATTTACTACCGAATCGCTTTTACTACAGCGATTTATCTAACGACTAGAATGCTATCTGCTAGACAAAGCGTTACGTATCTACGTCTAAACTAATGATCTACGACATCGATCGAGTTTTCTCGAAAATCTTATCTATCAGCTTCTAAATGAGAACATTTGTACGCTGTTTTCGTAGCGATTTTCTATTCGGTGAGTCGCGAATTAGCGAGGAATGAAATCAGAGAATGTAAAGAAGACTTGTAAAGCAAGATAAAGAAGAGATTTTATTTAGAAGAAGTAATAAAATGAAAAAATGTAATTAGAATAATATATTAATGTCTGAATTTGAATTGAATATTTGGATTTTTTGCAAATTTGAAAAAAATATTTTTTCTTTTATTACCTAAATTTTAATGATGTTATGATTCATTCTAGGTGTAATTTTAAGACCTAAAATTTATGAATAGAATTTAGATTAATTTGTTTCTAATCGGTAATTATATTAAAGATCACATAAGTCAAATATATCACTTTTTCACAGCGAGAACTGATTTCGATTAATCAATGAAAAAACTCGTTGAGGTCGTCATGTATCCATATATGATTGCATTTATTTGTTCATGAATAAATTATTCTTATTGATATAAAGAGCTAAAAAAATAATTTCAAGACTCAAATTTCAAGAAATTGATAAAAAACAAAAAAGAATATTGCGTTCTTTTGTAAATTTGAAAAATTTTTTAGAATTTAGATCTTTATTTACGATCTATGATTGTGATATATTGTAAACTAGTTATTACTCAATTTAAATTTTAATACTCGATAACTTCTTATTATCCAGATATTATTCCAAGTATTCGAAATATTTATCATAACTTGAACTTAACTTCCAAAATTTGAATATTTGAATTTACGTATTTCTTTTTTTTTTTGTTCACACATTTACATTCGTGCACACTTAATTATAGTGCACTGCTTTTAATATTCGCTTTTAATTTCGTTCTTGGCTGTTCTATATTCTTGATTATTCTTTACATTGTACCGGTGTATTGTATGTACTTTATGCATGCATGCAAATTTAGTAATTTGTTCTCAGATAAATAAGTGCGATTAAATAAAAAGATTGACACATGCTCATTTTCCATTTTTTGTACTTTCCATGAAAACAAAACAAATAGTATGATTAGATCTTTAGATTATCTTGAATAATCACTGTTTCGAGCTTCTGAAAACAATGAAATTAATTACATCTCTATGCCAAATAATTAAAGTTTTGATTGAGATGATTAATTTTTTTTAAATTTGATTTCTTTATTCTAAATTGAAATATTAATAAGAAAACTTCATCTGAATAATTATGAAAAAAATTCAAGTGCAGATATATTTGAATACTCAGATTTAAATTCGAATACTCATATTCGGTTTCAAATCAAATCAATTCAAATTATAATATAATACTTTAGACTCGGGTGAAAATAACTACAAGAATGCCCAATTTTTTACCTTATTTTTTGCCTGCTTAACCATCGCAGAATCCTGGAATTAAAATTCCAGTTTTTGAAGCATGAGTATAGAAATTTATGCCTCGAAAATTATATGCTTTTAGAAATTTAAGATACGCATCATAAAACAAAACACGAATATTTTTCTCTATCTCATTCGAGTTAATGAAATAAAAAAAAAAAATCGAAATAATTTTTAAAATATCGAATAACTGAAGAATTTCACGATCTTAATCGTACGACAGTTATTCAAGTATTACTGCAGCCAATAAAAACTCTAACAAAGATGATTTATAACTATTAATTAAATAATAAAATAGCTTAATTAAAATATAGAAAATAAACTTATTGAATTTGATGCACGATATAGAGAAGAAAAGGAGACGTATTAAAGCATTAAAACGACAAATAGATTCCTCGCTAAATCGTGAAAGACCATTAAACCCTGTAATGCGTAATAGCACTCGACTAAATGGCACGTGAAATCCTACCGGGTTCATTCGCGATAGTAGTTACGTTAATTCGATAAATAGAAAGACGAACAGACGTGACTGATCAAACGTTCAATTACGAGAAGGCAGAAAGAAAAACAGCAAATATACAACATGTACTTACATACATTACATGTGCGCATGCGCACATAAGATAGAGATAGAAACAGAAGAGAAAGAAGAAGAGAGTAAAAAGTTCATGAATAGTGGAAAAAAGAAAGAAAGAGAAAAAGAAACAGAGAGAAAAAAGAGGGGCACGTTGAGGAGATACTAGAAAAAAATGGCATTGCCGTAAAATTCAGACTATAGAAATACAAGTATTCATATATCGAGATACGATTAAAGCGAAACTTATGTAGAGGACACGCGCGTTCTATTAGTCGATAAATGCTAATTGAAGAGTTCTTATAATATGAAATATTGTAAATGCAAAAATTGAAAAATGTTCTATATTTCAATTGGAATATATGAAATAAATATAAGCTTTTTGTAAGTAGTTATATTTATTATTAATAATTAATTAATAATAATGTTAAAAGCAAGTTAGCATCACTAATATATCAAACATTTTTATAAAATACTTTAAGTACTAATTCAAATGTCACTTTACTGTTTCTTGACTTTTGTCTATTATTATATGTGATTTATATTTTTAATTAATTGATTATTGATTTCTTAATCCATTTGAAGAAACAAAATTATGAAAATCAAACAATGTACTAGTAGCAGATAAACTTGAAGAATATAATAAATATATTTCTATTATTAAAGCTACAGTTCAAGGCTATGTTAACATTTATAGATATTAATATTACTGGTTTATTTGGAATAATTTATTTGGAATATAATAAAATATACTTTCATTATATTTTCTATTTATGAAAATAAAAATAACATATTATATAAAGAAATATATTTTTTCTATGCAAGTTATTTTGAAAAAAATAAGATTGATACTTAATATATCATTTATCATTATAAATTTAAATGAATGATATATTAATTTTCTTTAAAATTAAAGTATAATAGATACATATAGAATTTTCTATAAATATAAATTTCTTTGCCATAATTTTATGTAAAAAATAAAAAAATTTGTCATGCATTTGAATTGTATTCTTTGTTTTTATTTAAATTTTGTAAATAATTTAACTGCTATTGAAAGGCTTCTAAATCTTACTCAAAAAATCTCAAACATTTTATAACTTTGCTTTTAACTGATATATAATGCTAATATCTGTTGTACAGCAACCTTTAATGAGATTCATAATTATAACTTAAACTGTAAATAACTTTAGGTTTTTATTATTTATTATGATACCTTGGAACCTTTAGAAAATTAATGTGCACGAATATGTATATCTCAATTTTATCAATAGCAACTACAGTTCCTAAAAAAAATTTGACTTTTCAACACATACTGTTCTCAACAAAAGTTAATGTATCTATATATATAAATATATTTTTTAATTTCAGCATAGTATTTAAGAAATTTTGAATTTAAACAACTTCTATCTTTTTCCTGAAAAAAAAATATTTTTAAAATTTTCCTATAAGAACTCTTCAATTCACAAGATTCGATCATAACTTACATCTATGCCGTTCGCGTTCGATATTCGGTATATATCATTGAGCAAAGCCGAAGGTACAAAAATCGGGAGTCGGATTCGCGATTCCGAAGAGCGGGGGCGTAAACACGGATATCGACCGAGCCTATTCGAATCATCAAATAGCGTCGTGTTACGGCCATGCGTCTCTCTACTCGTTAACAAAAATAAGTATCGCTTGGAAGCTAGGCCGCTACACGACGACGATCATCAAAACCATGGACGAGGAGGATTATACATACTCGGTGCAAACGCGCGCGCGAGCGTGGCAAGGATTGCCGCGAACTTGTTCCTCGGAACGACACGAGAGGGCATAACCTCGAGGAACGGAAAGTATAATTATAGTTAGGAAGTTCGAGGCGCTCGCCACTCGAAAGGACGCAATTCATAGAAGCACGCCTTAAATTGCGCGCGAATAAAATGTGATTCAACCGATAGAGAAACAGCGCGTGCCCAGATGAAAAAAGGACCCATAGGAAAAACTTATCGCCTGCGAACATTTTACGAACAACTTACGTGCTAATACTTTGAAAAATGCTTGTCCTCGATCCTCGATCACATTACTTTTGTATACTCGCCATCTGTATCGTTCCCTGCTATTCTTTTTTTTTTTTTAAAAACTACTTAATTCGACCTAAGTTTTTAACGCTACCTTTGGACGTTTTGGCTTTTGCTCGTTCGTTCGGGTGTTTGATTTCTCTGTATTGCGTGTCGCGCGCGTATCGAATGTCGCGTATCGGCTGACGCTACCAGTCGAGGTCGCTGCGATCGCTTTTTTCGGATATTTAACCGTTAATTCCCTGCAGACCGGGACGAGAAGAAAGATTCGACGAGAGTATCGCTATGATCCGTGTGAAGATCACAGAGTTAATTTGCTCGATTATCGAATGGTAAAAGAGAATCCTTCTTTTCTAAGAACGTTTTTGTTTTGAATCGAGAATAAATTGGAGGGTAAGCCGTGCGCGTAATTCGATTAATACCCTTTTCCTTCTACGCGTAGTGTTCGCAATCCCCACACTCGGACAGCGTGGGTGTGGACGGGCACTAGGTGGGATTTGAGTCCTCGTAGGCCTTTTCGTAGTCTCGTCGACGAATCACCGCAAAGTGTGTCATCTGAAAAGAGTTGGTCTTCTTGCAGCCACGCTCCAACGTGCCAGTCATACTGTAACCCATGTTGAAGTCGCTCGACGATACGTTCGACGTCAGGTACAACTGGAAAATAGAAATAAACGGGCATCATTTGATTAATCAAATGATCAATTATTGTCGTGGATACCAATCTAAAAAAAAAGAATAATTAAATTGTTATAATCTATTTTTTGTATTAGATATGTACTTTTTTATATAATAATAAAAAGCCTGAATATATTTTTGATCAATTTTCGGTACAAAATATCAATTTCAAAAATTTATGCATTAAAAATATATATATTTCTAGAACATCTTTGAAAGATCAATTCTGGAGGCCAAAATAAGCACAAAAATTGGAAAAACATTGATTAAGACATTTATTATAAATAATTGAAGCTTGTATTAGATAAAATGAGATGGAAATAGAAGCAATAGCTCTATCACAAACTTAAAAAATAAATTCAAACTTCATAAATAAATCTAATACATAATATTTTTGCATACCAACTTTTGTATTCTTTTTTCAGATCTTTTAAGTATCTTATGAATATATTATTTCATCTTGTATATTTCTATCAAGATGAAACTTGTTAATATCATATATATTATATATGTAGCTAGAATTAATATTAACTACAAATTATATTATATTTTTAATATATTATTTAATTATCTGAGTAATTATAATCAGAAAAATAATATCGAATAAGCTAGTCGGAACGAAGCACGACACTCTTATTATCGGGACTCATAAAATCGATACGTATGTAGTACAAGATCGTATTAATATTAGTGTTGCAAGGTTATGTTATGTTTTACATTTTAAAAGAAAATCTTCTATAAGAAAAACAATGATTTCATATTTACATTCTATCTCTATAATTAAATTTCAAAATATTGTAAAATATATTAAATTAAATTAGTTTTTAATATTTAATTAATAATAAGTTAGATCATCGTAGTTTAGATTAACTTAAAAATTTTTACAATATTAATTCATTGTTTTTTAGATGTTAATTAAATGCTATGATATATATATTATATATATATTATTATATTATAAATTATATATATATATCTTTTTGTATCTTATATAAAATTATAAATTATATTATAATAAATATATAATACAGTATTAATATTAATATATTTGTGGAATATTTTTAGAAATCAATTTTAAAGAACAAACAAAAAGAAATATTAATATATAAAAATATTGATTATAAATTTATTCATTAAGTTATAAATAATTTAAACTTGCATTAGATGAAGTAAAATGGAAATAGATTGATATATATTCATCTCCACAATATATCCGCATATTTCGCTCTATTTTTGCTTCGTTTCATCCAATGCAAATATAAGTGTTTATAATCTAAAAATAAATTTTAACCGAAATTTTTGTATAACAACTTTTAAATTTATTTGATTTTTATAAATGATTCTAAGATTTTATGTTTTAATTCTACTATCTACTTCTTGTTTTTCCTTTAAATTTCACAATGATCAATCATAGATATCTGAATGGAATAAAGTATTGGAAAATTTTTATATTTTTAATTGTTTCACGATATTCAGATTTAGTTTTTCCTGATTATACGTAAAACCATTTATGCAAACATGTCCCAATTAGTTCGGGTAATTGAAGTTCTGCTATATATTTAATAATGTGCTCGCGTTTTCTTGTGTTCGATGTTTGTTCCTACCATCGAAAATCCGATCGTCGACCGTCGATCGTTTCGAGCAAGCCAACGAAAACAAGTAACGCGAGGGTCTGATACCTTGAAATCAGGATCGGTTGTCATTCTTTTGAAAGAGCCGACGATGTAAAGCGTGCCAGTTCCTGTGTCCACCATTTTTGCTTGAGTGCTGTACCTGAAACCACGAAAATTTGATAAGTGACGCGCAAAATGAAAATTAAAATATGATTTCAATCTTAAGGAATAGAAATGTTTTCGATTTCAGTTTGAATTTATAGAATGTAAAATATTCAATTGAACGTTAACAGACAGTTAATAAAGCATGCAGAATAGAGTGGGATAAGAAAAATAAAAATTATATTATTTATGATTATTTATTAATTTTTAACTTGCATTAATTTGGCATTAAATTTTAAGATTTAGTGTAAAAAGATAATTTATGTAAAATTATATTTTTGAAACGCTGCAGAAAATTTGAGATCTTAATTTTTTGTTTTTTAAACATAATATTAATTTTATTTCTTATTATATTGTCAATATTATCATTTTATTTAATATCGTTATATGTTCATTTTAAAATGTAAAATGTATGTAAAATGATGTTCAAAGTATAAATATGCAAATAGGAGATATTTGCAAAATATAAATGCATAATTTTCTTTAATTTACATATTTAATTTAAATCTTTTTAATCCGAAATTCTTTTTATATAAATTATTGAATAAATATTTATGAAATTAATAAATTAAAATGAACAATGTAATAAATAATGAATAATAATTTTTTAAATTGGATACCTTAAAACCTTTAGATTTCAAATTTTAATAGCTAAATATTAGAAGATTATTATACAATTTATTATAGGAAATATTTTGCTCGATATTTTGAATAGTAAACAATTTAGCGATAATTGATCATTCGATGTAATATATACATATCTCGCTAATAAAATTAAAAAAACAAATATGTCGTGAGCCACAGGTTAATATTTTCCAATTATCGCTAACAACTAAATCGTTTATCGCTTACTTTTAAAAGTACGTGTGCTCACCCCTCTTTTTCACGTTTACAATAAAAAATTAATGTGTTTATAATGCAATTGTAGATATTGTACAGAGATACGATATACGATTGTAATATTTTCATTTTAAAATAGCAAACAAATGGAAAATTTTATTATGTAGACCAAAATCTAGGAAGAGAAGATCATTATCAGCAAATGAGTATTACAAGAATTAAAAAATCTTTACAATAAAGATATATTCTATGATAGATAAGAAACGATTATCTTGTTAAAATATTATTATACATTATATTTCATATTTAATTTTAATTTCTTTACAAATTATTATTAAATTTTGAAATTTAATGTTCAAGGCACTTACTATTACGTATAAGCAAATATATAATTATAAGCGTTTGTTATAAGCATTTTAAAAAAATTTTCTAAAACAATTAGAACAATTACAATTAGAATTTAAACAACTAGTTTTTTAAATCATATCTTTTTTAAAAACATTACATATAAATGAAAGTAAAAATGGAGATATGTATGAATAAAGTAATTGTGTTTTAAATATTAGTTGGATTAATTAAATTTAAGTAAGACTAATTAATGTAATTAAAATCTCAGTAAAAGATAATTTGTTCATTCTTCTCTAATCTCTGAAAATCTCTACAAGTCGAAATATAAATTTACTTTAACTTGAATTACATGCTATATATTTAAATGCATGATTTTATCTCTCTATTTTGAATTCAATATAAGTTCGATGTTTATAAATCAGAATTTATTTTTATAAGTAAAAATTTTTCTTACTTATATCTATACAAATCGAAATAATTTATCAAAAAACGATTTTTTATTTTGATTTTATTATTCATTTTTAATTTGTTATTGTTTCCTTTCTTCTAATTAGTTAGAATTGTCTTGAATATTTGAATACAAAAAAAAAAACTATTTGTAGATATTTTTTTTTAGTATTTGAAAAAAATATCAAAATATTCTTATACGATCTTTGATTCTTTTATATCAAATTTTTAGTCGAATTTATTATTATATATAACTAAGTTTATAGTTTTTAAGTAAAAATTTATTCTTTTTTTAAAATATGAATTATTAAAACTTGACTCAGAATTCAGAGTATATCAATTAGGCAACAATTAATTATATTTTATCATTTTATTATAATCATTATTATAATTGATTACTAAAAGTAGTTTTTTAAATATTTAATATGGAATATTATTATAAATAAATAAATTATTATTTTATTCATAATCAAAATCACAATTATTTTATAATCAACGGTTATTGAATTAATATCATTAATAAAATATTTATGGTTATTCCTCTTAATCATTGAACAATGATTATTAAACAATCAATCATAATTAACAACATAATTTTACATTAATTAATCTTTAATCATTGATCAGATTACATTTTGTTCAACTGTGTTGAATATGTATATAAATAAAATACTATTTTACAATGAATAATGTTAATAATTAATTTATCTATTAACACATATTAAAATATGCTTTAATAATAATTAAAGAGAAAATATTTTGACACAAAGTAACGATAAAAAGGGAAGAGAGCAAAATATATAAATTAATTAAGAAAAGTTGCTCGAGAAGAAGTTGTGTTGTCAGTTTCATTAAATTTTTTTTCTTAACAATTTAAATTAGATTTTTTTCTCAAATAAACAATTTAAAATGTTACGTTTTATTTTGATAAACTATGAATTAAATATTTAAAAGAATATAAAAAAAAAAAAAACAGAAAATAAAGTTTGACTAGTATTCTCTCAGCCATGATTTTTCCCATAATTTTTAAATAGAAAAATAATAGATTTTTTATTCATGATATGTTCTCATAATATTATTTTTGTATATAAAAACAAAAAAAATATTTTAAACAATTTTTTAAAAAACTAAAAATAAATTAATGCTTAAACAGAATATTTTTTTACATATACATTTTTCAAAATAATTTGCAATACATATCCAATATACGTAATCAAGAGTATAATTTTCTAATCAATTTTCTCGATATTTAAAAATAAAAAAAAATTGTTAAATAATCTGAGAAACGAATGTTGTATCGAACTTTTTCATATTATTTGAAAGTGAATATCAGCTGATCACTGATCGATATAATACATGTTTTCTATATCGCCTTATTATTTTTTATTATATTTTTTTATTCTTTATTTTCTTTTTATCATACACTATTGATGTCATTCAATTATAATCGGCATAGCAACGAATATCATACTGATCGATAATTCATTCTCAATCAGATGATGAAAATCGATCAATATAAAAAGACTTATTGTATAGCCTCGATCACTCGAATATTTTCTCGTTTCTTTTAATCGATATTAACTAAACACTATGAATATAACTTTAAATATGATAAAATTATTAAAATGATAAAAATTTGTTGAATCTACAAGATAAAATTATCTTTTTTTAAATATATTACAAAATTGAAAGAAAGTAATTACCAACAATAAAATAATTTTATTTTAAATTTTAATATTTTTTATTCATTTTAAGATATAGGATAAAGTTATATATATATATATATTTATAAATCATTGAATTGCTAAATATTTTAGTGAAAAATTACGAATCGCTGATATTAATATTAATATTGATGGGATTGAAAATAAAAATAAAAAATACAGAATAATGTAAAATAATGCCATATTTAAAAAATAATTGATTGATATTATTCCATTCTCTTTTACATTTACATATTTAATATAACACCAATAATAAATTTTTGTTCTTTTGAAATTGTTTGTAATATTCATTAAATATATTTTTCCTATATAAATTAATTAAAGAATGTATACATTGATACATATTCAAGAATAATTCTAATTTTTTTCAGAAAATTATTAAAAAATCTTTAATTTTTGTTTAAATTTTTTTTAACAATACTACTATAAAAATGTATAAACTATGTAAATATTAGCTACAATAATATTAATATTAAAACGAATTATATTTAATTAAATCATAAAATTGTAATAAAATTTATAAGTAAATTTAGATTTAATTAAAGCTTGTTTTTGTTATAAAAGTTTCAATTGCTTTTTTTCACAGGAATGTAAAATTTTTAAATTTTAACCGGTTGAAGTTAAAAATAAAGTGACTTCAAGTTAAGAATAAAGTCACTTGAATAATTTATTATTCAACGCATCGAATGGAAGTTAACTTTACATAAGTACAGTAGACATTATAGGAAGAGCGGGTCAACTATAGTAGTTATGAATAAATGTTTCGAGAATTAAAACTTTATTTAAATATTAAAAAATAAGTATTTTACTTTGAAATTTTAATTAATTAATTTTTCAACTTTTTCTCTTTTTCATATCTTTTTTGCTCTATTAATAAATAACATATAAGAAGATAAATTTTAATAATTAAAATTTGTTAATACATTTTATGAACTTGAGAATAAGAAAAAAATATTAAATAAATCTTTATAAAAAAACATTATTTAAAATTTATGCTAAATATAAAATATATGATAATACGAAATAAATAGCAGACCTGTGATATAATATAAAAATAAATCAATAATATTATTGCAGAAATTTTGAAAATAATTTCTAGTATTATCAAATTTTTGAAGTTATATAACGAAATATCACAGTTTCGATTCACGAATCGAAAATATGCAAATATAGACTTTGTTTACGGTTTTTATATACTTCGATACTCCGATAAAGGAGTATCACATTTTTCCGTAAATTGATTGCGACAATTAACAGTAACAGGATTATTTCCACTATTTTATTTACTTTTTAGAAAAAACTTTTATGGAATTTTCGAATAATCAAATGGATCTTTTTTGAAGTTTAAATAGATTTTACATATTTTTTACATATATTATTTAATAATATATGTTTTTATAATGATATAATTTATGTCGAATTTTTATTCTTCAAAATTATTTTTCTGATATCTTAAGCACATGCTTTTGCAAATACGGTTTCACTTTATTTAACTTCATTGTCTATATTCCATTGACATTTCCAAAATGCTTCTTCTTTAATTGACGAATCATATTCTATTGATTAATATTAATTAAAAAAAAAAAAAAAGAAAAAGTATAAAAATACAATTATTTCATCATTAATAATTGATTTTTGA